TCCTCTCCTTACTCACAGTGTGCATGAGGGAGGAGAGGCTGTGGAGAGGCAGGAGAAACCTTGTCAGTGGGCTTTGAAGTGTGTTTGTCTCTCTGAATCTGAGACTTATTAATGCTTGCTTATTTAGCTTGGGTTTGGGGCGTATTGTTAGAGTTGCCAGCCTTTGTCAGCAGATGAGGCCTGCCTTCGTGTTCTGGAGTTGCTCCTTACATTGGGTCTGCTCCGGGGTGGTGTTGGGGGAGGACGGTAATGGAGTGGTAGTGGCAGAACTGTGTGTGTGTGTATGTGCGCGTGCGCGCACATGTGTGCCCACACATGTGGACAAAGCCCAAAGTGAGGTGACTGAAGGCCAGGTTAGGGGTGAGAAAAAGAAGGAACAACCATTTTACAAGTGGCTTCAGCTGAGAATGTTATGCCTCTTGTATTTCTGCCCCTAAGGAATGAACTTCTCCTGCATCTGAAGACCTACAACTTGTACTATGAAGGCCAAAATTTGCAGCTCCGACACCGAGAGGTAAGGACTGTCCAGGGAAGGCCTGTAAGTCTCCTGCCCTGGTGGACTGCCTTTTCTTTGTCTCCATGTGCCCTGAGGTCCCAAGAAGTTCCTGCCTCTCCTGCCACAGTGAGGGGCCTCTCATTTAGGATGTTAACAGAAGTCCTTAGGGTTCTTTGGAAGGAGACCTCAGGCCTAGTTTTGCTCTAAAAAGGATGAGTTTTTCTGTTCCAGAGACATTCCTATGGAAGTGTGGCTGGGCTAGCACCAGCATCAGTGGGGTGATTCTCCAGGGGGAGAAATGACCTATTCAGATGGCTCCCGAGCAGGCTTCCTCTCTGGGCAATTTAGGAACCCTACCCAGTTCTCTATGTTTACTCATTTGGGCTCAAGTCCTATTGCTGCGGCAACCTTGACAAGTCACATAGGCTCTGGGTGGTAACTCTTGGCCCTCCCAGACAACTGCAGCAGTCTTCCTCGGCTGCCTTCATGGAATGTCTTTCGTTATCCTTCTGACTTTCCCCAGCCCCCATCCCAAATTAACTTACTCATCCTGTATCTATTTCTGTAAAGCTTGTTATCAGATAGATGGTGAGTTATAAAGGAGCCTTGCAGAGTAATTTATACTCAAGTGTTCTCAACTGATAAGGTATGTGTAATACTCTTTAAAACCCATTTTCAAGTTATCAAGCTATGGCAATTTAATCCATAGGAATGGATGGCAGATGATGGAATTTCAGTGACTAAGACAGGCTGGATGGGGATAGTATGTGGGATTCAGTGGCCTTTTCTGTGTCCCTCAAACTACTCTGCTTAGGCAAAAATTATTTTGGGTTAAATTCTCTTCTACAGCCATGCAATGTAAAGTAGTAATGCCTGCCACGACCAGCTGGAAGGCT